GAATGTCGACCAGCTGTGGAGATTGAAAGTTGGGACCACCAGCTCCTCACACCCGGCTGTGATGAAAGGTTCTTTACAACCAAAAGTGGATTAAAGCACACATTAATATTCTCTTCAACAACAGTTACAAGAGGATGTTTGTCAAAGACACTGAAAGCTTCCTGTTTGATTATTTATGATCTGACTAAATAAATGTTTCTGGAGTAGTTGGATAATTGGTATATAATGATTACACACATCCATAATAATGACTGTAGGGCAATTAGTTGAGAGCTTTGCAAAAATTATATTAATTGCTGTCGAGGAAAATTAGTTAGTTTTGGGAGAGAAACTTTGCAATCTTACTCATAGGTGCTAGATTTTAAATACAGCGCATATAGTGGCTCCAAACTGCTCTCAACATGGCGACGGCTTAGCCAGCGGCCTGCAGCTAATGCTGCTAACAGCACTGCCAGTGCAAACAACGGCAACAGTGTTAATTGGCACTTCCATGATGATAATGGGACAACGTTATCAGCGGTTACTCTAGTATGAGCTCAGTGCAGAGTGGCAGCCATAAGTGAGCCAGTTGTGCACGCTCACATGCACTGAAATGCACGAATAAGCACACACGGCTATGTGAACAAATCCCAGAGAAGCTCTGATAACAACACACACAGAGAGGGAGGGTGACTTCATTCTCTGCTCAGGTAGACATTACTCCACTATATCTTTACATTACAAATAGTTGTTTGCTGCTTTATTAATGCTTTATTAATGCTACATGTGCAGCACATCTCAGTTGTCAGCTGTCACAAAACAAGAATAAAGTCTTTCAATCCATATAAACATGTTGAAAGATTGAGAGAGAAAAATATATGATTGACTGAATCTGCTTTAATTAATGGCTTTAACTTAAATAAGTTAACAAAAGATTATTATTTGGTTATTTTCTTTATCTCACTACATCATATTCTTGGGGTGCAGTTTTCAAATATTTCAATGTTGCCATAACCCACATAATGAATGTGCTGAGAGGTTAGTTTTATGTCGCAACTGTCAATTTCACCATTTTTGACTACGACTGTCACTTTCAAACTTACACAGCTGCAGCTAATTATCCTTAATTCTCTGTTGGTCAAACAACAAGAGACAAACTCTTGGCTGGTTGAGCACTTAGCATGCTACTGCGGGTGCTGTTTACTCTTAAGTTAGGTCAAAGATGGTTTTGTTGAGGATGAAACTTCACTCTGTAATATTTTTATGAGAGTGGGTTGTGTCTCTTTGCCTCTTTGTTCAGAAACACGAGAGCGGTGAGTCTGTTCCCTTGTTCAATGCTTTAGCTTGAAGTTTATTTGAGACCGGCAAGCTAACATGTTAACAGAAGTTGTTGAGTTGTCGAGTAGAGACAAAAGGCTCCTCAAAAGTTGTTAGAATTTCACTTTAACTTGTGGGCACATTATTTTCATCTTGTTTAAGATTTGTCACCTCAAAACCTCTTAGGACCTCTGTGTTTTAAGCTTGTCCGTCTTAAATTAGCATTAGCGTAGCTAGCAACAGGTGTTACTTGCAGTAAGTCAGTAAGTGCAACAGCTTTTTTTAAATGTCATGATTATATTTGAATATTACAGTTTTGAGTTTGGTTTAGTATACCACAAGTGTAATATTGTAAGAATTTTGGACTGAATTGATATTTTATCTGAAAGTGAAATCTTATTTAAAAGACTTTTCTCTGACTAAAAGTTTGAAAGAAAGAACTGTTGGATGGTGTTCCTCAAGCGAAGGCATTATTTCATCAGAATAAATTCAGCACAAATTTGATTATGTTAATACAGTTTATTATGCTCTGCTATATAGAAAAATACAGGCATAGAGTTTAATTGGTAGAATATAACAGACCGTTTTGACCTGCCACAGTAGGAAATCATTAGTGTCATTAGGGACTTTCCCTACTGCATCAACTCCAAATGCATTTCCATGACTAAAGCATATTGCAATTCAAATATTGGTAAGAAAAATGGCAACCACAACGAGTTTGTTCCTATTTTAAGTTTAACAACAAACATAGTGAGTACCTCCTCTATTGCCACACAGTGTTCAGTGTTGAGGTTCGTCTTCCAGGACTATTTGTTTGCCTTCATGACATTCATGTAAGTAAAAGCTTGTTGAATTGAAATTGCAACACTCAACTGCATTATTGATGCTGAGAGAGACACACACACACACACACACACACACAGTCGGTGGGTAAGTGAGATAGGACAGTTGGGGAGTAATGTTGGAATAATGGTAGGCATTGTATATAGTTTGCCTCCAATTTGTCAGTCATCCACAGACCTTTTGTGGATAAGTATTTGTCAACAAATATTGGTTTGTTTGAGATCCAGTTTCAGACCATTTTTGTCCCCACTGCAAACAGTACAGAAGCAGCAGAGTAATCTCTAGTCGGGCACTTTTTTGTCTTGAGAGTCCGTCCTTGCCTCCACAGCAAGGGTGCTCTGTACCTGCTGTTGCTTGTCAGGAAAAGCAGATGGAGAAGGACCTCTGACCCCGGTGGCCTACATTGGAGGCCATCTTGTCACTCTGTGACAGCGCGTGCCCGCTAACCAAAACAGAATGTATGCCATGCTATTCCCCGAGAGGTTTCCTTGTTTCTTTTGTAATATTCAAGAAAAAGAAAAAGGAGCAAATTAGCCTTCATGCAGCATGCATGAGTTTAACAAGTTCCCCCTTATAATTCCACTGCTGAGGGGAATAGGGGAAGTCTAGGAGCAGTACAGCTGTGCTTTTAGCAAGTTTAGTGTTTCTGGGATGTGATGTTATTGCCTGCGCCAAACTCCGCGGTGTTTCTAGTCTTAAGAGAGTGCGCTTAATTTTCCTCATCGCGTATTGCTGGAAATATTCTCTCTGCATTGCTTGTTGTTTGAGGCTACTACATAATGTAATGGAACAGCCTCTCCATGGTACTTGAAAGGAATGCTTTTCACAGCTTATTGCCAGCAGCTAACACTCTGGGTTTCAATGGAAAGTCTCGTCGGGCTTCAGCGCTCGAATCATGATGTCCCCTAAGAACCAATTCTGAGTTGGCAGCACTTGACATGATTGCCCTTAAGTAACTGACAGGGTCGCAGTGCTACATGGCACGCCGGAGCTGGGTAAGTGTTTCTTAGCAAAGAAAAGATCTGGCCGGTGCTCAGAGAGGAGACGGAGGCAAACACGAGGCAGGTTTCCCCATTGGCCCTGTGGCGGTCGGCCGGGGGGTGGTGGGGGGGGTTCTGTTGTGACTGGTCTCATGGAGCATTACCTTGAAGGATTATTGGAGCGGTTGATTGGCCAACTCCTGTGGACGGACAGTGGCTGATTTGCAGTGCAGAGAGTATTGATTTCGGTGACAGCGCAATCGTGTTTCTGTGTGTGGGGAAGCTATATATATATATATATATATATATATATATGGGACTGTGTATGTGCAAGTGTGGGCTGATTGTTCTGTCTCCGTGTTTGGCCCTCAGAACAAAAGACAGTTTCTGTTTGCAGGGTTAGGGTTAGGACATCAATATTTCATTGTGAAATTAATTGTTGCACATTGGCAGTAGGTGTATAAAAACATTAAATCATGGTTTTAATGAGAAAAAGCCTCTCTTGTAACAGCACTAGAAATATATTACTAGTACTGGCTTTACTGCAAATTAAGACCACTATTCCCATAAACCTCAGTTCTACCCTTCTCAACCACTCAGGTAGCGTTGCATACATTTCATTTGCTTTAACTGCCAATGAAGGGAAGTGATAAAAATGATCTTCTGCTAGAAAAATATCAATCTCCTGTTTTGTGCTGTAAAGCAACATTAGCTTGTGCCATTAGACATTCTGCAGATTTTTCCCCAAGGCCAACCTCATGGCATACAGTTAAAATAGAGATTTTGAGCTTAGCGCAAACACTGCAGGCAGCTAGCCTGCCTCTGTTCGAAGGTAAAAATAGTAAAAGCAAGTTGTAGATTCTTTGGGGATTACTGTATGCAAGACTATTTTTAATCTGTGTCAGGCACAGTGACTTCCTGGAGTCCACAGGTGGGACAGAGTCAGGCTAGTTGTTTTCCCCTGCCTCCTCTCTTTGCGGCAAACTAAGCTAAGGCAACCATCTCCTTGCTGTAGTCTCATATTTAATAGACAAATATAAGGCTAGACAGCGAATAAGATGACTTCCCAAATAATGTTTAGCTATTCCTTTTAAATTGTGTGCTAGTAAAATATGATAATTTTTCAGTGATTATAATGTAACTTTAATTAGAAATAGATACATAAATGTATAAAGCATAACACTATATTTTGCAGAAGTCCACTTATACTAACCTTCACCAGCAACTTTGACTGTGATTACCAGTGGCACATTTTATTCACACACACACAGTTTGTCCATATCGAATTAGTCCTACATAGCTATATGGGTTCAGTGGCACAGACGATGACACGTTTGGGGTTTCAGTCACAAATCATGCTACGAATGTACAGCATGAGAGCTTTTGAATGGCAGATGTTGCGTTGCGTGATGTGAGTAAACCAAGCAGACAAGTTGAACCCTCGTAGAGTTCGCTGAAGGGGCCTGCAACCGATCCTGTGGTTATCTTTCCATGCTTGGACCCCTCCCAGGGTGCGAGTTTACCCGACCTCAGCATTACTCAGTCCTTCCCCGGCTGCTTTTTTTTTTGGCAGAAAATAGGTTTGGAGAAACGAAAAGACAACAATCAAAAACAATAACTCAGCGTAGAACAAACAGCATGTAGTAGAAGCTTCCTCCTTCTCCCTCCCTCTTTGAGCACCATGGCAACATTCCCTTTGATATGCAGATACCCTCGCCATTTGTACAGTGCAGCACCAAGGGGAATATTGACTTTTCAGAGAGGCAGAGAGCTTTTGAATTAATTGTTAAGCTACAACTGTGCTTCTTCCTTTTTTTTTTTCCCCTTCATCTTTTTTGTGCATTCAAATCATAGCATGTTTTATCTTTCTTCTTTCTCCAGATGTGGAGGGAAGACTGTGTGCTGGAACCGGGGATTGCACTCTGAGGAAGGAGCAAGGATAAGTGTTATCTTCATGTAAAACTCAACCTGCAGGCTGAAAGTCCTCTCCGGTGTTCCCCTTCGCTCCAGTCATAATAATGACGCTCACTCTGTAGCCCTTCGCTACCTGTTTGGTATTCGTTCCTGTTCCCCCAAAAAACGTCCCTGCGCTGATAGCACTCAGAGACACATTTTTACTTTAACCGTACAAACCACCACCTTGCCATGGATCGCCTGTGTCCGGGTGAAGGCGTGAGCCGGACACGGGCCCTCGTTGGGAAACTGTAGCCGTGTGGATTCTCTTCAACTTCCTTCCGTGATTTTACTCTGGAGTTATTCTTTATTTGGACCAGGGATGGATGTACCGGAAGCCAGCAAGCATGGCAAGAAGTCGACAAGTCAAAAGCTGGAGGACCAGAAAAAGGTAGGCAAAACCTTTCTATTTTTGTCTTTTAACCTTTTCTGCTCTGCAATGCTCTTCTTTAAACTTCTCTCGCTGTGTGTACACGTGTGTTGTTTTTATAAACATAATCAGAGCTTTGGTTTTCGCTGTATTCCACTTGTATGTATGCAGAAGCCAAGGGATGAAAGTTTGTTTATCGCCTGCTTTGCTGTTCTCTTTAGAAAAACAGAACATGTTGGTCCAATTGCTGCTGTTGTCTGAATTCCCAGCAGCTCCTCCGTTCCATATCTCCTAATAGCTATTTATAAAGAAGAGGGGGGGTGAAGGTGGAGCTTCTGCGCCCCCTCTGCGCCTCCAGTCTTTCATTTCAGCTCATGTGGCAGTGGGCAGCCCCCCCCCCCCCCCCCCCTTGGGAATACATATTTACTCTCTGTTTGCAATGCTTTTTTTATGTTAACCACTCTGGGAATAGGAAGGGAATGATACCCGTAAAAATTAGACAAATCGTTTTTTTTTCCTTTGGTAAAGCGATAACAATAATTGTGGAGGTCAACAGCTCGGGTAGATAACGGTGAGCTTGGTGGAGGCTAGCTTTGAGTCGGACTCCGAAACGCGGTGCCCTCGACGGGGTCAGATTCATCTGTGGCGGCGGTGAGCGGATCGATGGAGAGAACCCAGGAGTCAGGCCGAGTTCACACTGTATGCAGAATGTGGGACTCGTGGACAGCAGCAGCCTCTGTCGTTTCTGCTCCCACATGCATAGAATTGGTACTTACTGGACTAGATGAACACACACACATAGGAAGTGATGCTGTATAGTCACCTGCACATAGACGGAGACGTACACACCTACTACAATGCATACATAGACGGTAGGAGATAATGGATGCACACACAAACACACAGCGCCTCCCTCTCCCTGCCTCTGACCTGATTCCTCTAATGAAGTGCTTTTGATAAGCGTAATGATTGTCCAGGCGAAGCCCGGGGAACATCCGAGCGCAGCGAAGGCGCAGTAATACATCAGCTCTGACATTTGTAGCACTATTAAGATCTCATAAAGAAGATGATTGTACTTTATTCTTTCTTTTTTTCCTTTTCGACCTGAGTGCCACCTGGGAGTGCTTTCTTTAAAAAAAAAAAAAAGCCACACAGAGACGTGTTGCTGTGTGCGCTGCCTGGCAACAACATTTTAAAACCTTTTTAGAGGAGGCACAGGAAGGAAGGTGTGTTCCTGCCCTTTTTGTGATACAGTACATTCTGGATGATTGCTGTAGAGCTAAAAAAAACAGTAATATCAATGTGACCTCTCCAAAAACCAGAAGCTAATACACCCTTGTGGTTCACTTAGATTACATATGCTCACTGTGTTCAGTCTCCCTTTCTTAACAATTGCAGCCTCTGGAGCTTTTACATGAATACACTGTATGTCAAACAACAAAACAAAGAGCAGCATATTCTGTGTTTGCGCTACAAAATGGAAGCTGATTTCTAGGTGAGGGGAGCCTCCATTGAAGCGTAGATTGGAACTGAGCAAAGAGTGACATCAAATATTCATCCGCGAAGGGAATTGATTTGGCTCAATTCGGCTACCATTTGGGTTTGAGGATGTGTGTCATGCCAAAAGATAAGCTCTCCCTCTCCGTCTTAACTGTTGCCTTCAGCTAGGAGACATATGTTTCTGAGCAAGAAGAGCTTCTTGGAAGGTTTTCCGTATTCCTGGCGACGTTTTTGCAGTTACGGCGGGATGTTTGCCGTAATTGGCCCGACTTGATGGGTTATGCCTCGTCCTCTAAGTCTCGTACTGACTCCTCTCTGTCAGCCTTTATAGCTGAACCCAGTAGAGGAGAATTGCTGTGCTTACAACACATATTTGCAGAGATGTAGTGAGTGCTCTGTCTCACTCCAATGATTGCCACCTTTCCCTTTGTAATGGAGGGGATTATCTGTGCAGAATGGATACACTGTGATGCATGCCAAACTTGCGATACAGAGAAAATAGTGGCACAAAAGAATTTCACTCAAGTTTCAGCATTTAAGGAATAGCTGACATTTTTTGAAATATGTTTATTTGCTTCCTTGCCGAGAGTTAGATGAGAAGATGGACACCACTCACATGTCTGTATGGTAAAGGTGATGCTGAAGCCAGGAGCCCTTGTTAGCTTAGCTTAGCAGGAGAAACGTTTTTTTTACACAATGTGTACAAATGAGACATTACATTTAAATGTAGGAGCTTCAGGGATGCAGATTTTGTTACCTTTAGGTAGAGCAAAGCTAGCTGTTTCCCTCCGTTTGCTGTGTTTGTGCTAAGCAAAGCTAACCCGAGCCAGCAGTCTGTCAGTATTAATTTCCTCATCTGACTATCAGCGAGAAAGTGAATTTCCAAAATGTCTTTCATCCATTAAGGGCTCTTTTTTTGCAGTGTTCAGCTCTCTGATTGGGCTCATGAGATTCACTTTATTCTCCCGGCTCTAGTTAGATCTCTGTTTGTTTGCTTGTCTCTCAGTTTGTCACGCCTACAGCTGACCAACTTGGCAGGGCTGATCGGAGTCCACATGCAAGTTTAGTGACAGAAATATTGTCAACATGAAGTCGGATCTGTGTGGTGTTTGTAGTACAACTCTGTGATTACTCAGAGGGAGATTATCTATAGGATCTTTTTGTCGAATGCCCAAAAGTTTCAAATCCCAAAAGTTGGAAACTAATGCAGAAGAAAGCCGCATTTGGCCGGCGGTCCTCCCTCCATCACCCAGGGAGTCTTTATCTTCTCCTCTTCTCTCCCTCCCACGCTTCTCTCTCCCTTTTCCTCCCCCTCTTTTTTCCTCCCAGAAGGATGGTGCTTTTCATTTTCACGATCTTTCCCGTGAATGAGATAGCGGTGATTACGATGGGACCGCTCGCCTGACCCTGAGGGAAAACGTACTCTTAGTGATTGGTTGTGTGGATGGTCAGGCACGGGGCGGCAGCGGTGTTGCTAAGGTATCTCCAGGAAGTCTTCTCATCAGCCAATCACCTGAGAGCTTTTCTTTAAATGGGGTTTCTCTCTTCACCATTTCAACCAGTCCATCCCTGCAAAGCTGTTGTTCTGCACATGTATCGTTTTCATGCTTTAACCATGCATTAAAGCCCACCCCACTGGGAGACAGCCATCACTGGATCGTGTAAGAATTAACTGGCTGGCCGCCCCCCCCGTGGACTGTCATATGTGATGGACTGTTCTAAAGCTCCGTGGGGGGCTGGTGAAAGACGAGTGAATAATTTAACACCAGGTTGGTTTGTATCACTGGGATTTGATGCATGCCATCGTATCATCGCAGAACACAAGATATGACGGCAGTTGGTGTGAACACGCAGCATATGTTGACTGAATAATTCACCTGGCAGGTTCAGATGCAGATGTGCCCCGCCCTATGCAGGGCTGTGAGAGGCCATGTTTGGCGTCGGGTCGTCATTACAGCGTGTAATGTTGGATTGCTAAATAAATCAGTAGGACTGAGTTTAGCCATAAAAAAAGCTTAAAGTGGTTTTGTCCATCTGTCCATTTGTTGATGGAGAACGCTGTCTACATTCCCACCAATTGTTTCATCATCAACCGGAGAAGCAGCGTCCATCTCAGACAATAGCATGAAGCTCCCCCGTAGTCTTTGTTTGTTCAGCTGGTTGGTCACATGCATTCAGCATAAATCCACTAGCAGGTGGTACATATGTTATTATTTCTGTGCATGTTGTCTTTTATTGTGAAGCGTGCTCTGTGTTTCTGTCTGTCAATGACAGATTTGGGATATCGGTGTTTTCTTTGATGTGTTGCGGTACCCGTTTATGTGCCGAGGCTCTCATCACAACAGTTGATGTGCATCTTCATGCCAAAATGTAATTGTGTTACATTGAATAGATCTCAGAATCCTATAAACATTGCCCTTTACTGAGCAGGAAGTTAAACCCGTTCAATTCTAACGGACCCAATGGCTCTCTGGATATTTCCTGTCTTACAATGAGGCCGAGGTGGTACCATCCATATCCCACACGTGCATGTGTGCCATCCTGGACCCTGTTTGGTCAGTGTGCTAAATTGTGACTAACATGCTACAGCGATAGGCTGTGGTAGTGTCTATAGTATGAATCCCTATTAAATGTTCATCTGTAGTGGTCCCAGTCCCAGTGTACTGAAGAAGCATATCTCATGACATGGTTAATATATATATACAGTATATGAGATGTATATAAGATATGTTTGAGATCAAGAATATGACCACAAATATTGATAGACTTAATATCTTGTAAAACAATTAAATTCTACTTGCTAATTTTTTTTGAAGCATTTAAAAAGGAATTTAAAAAATAATTGTATTCTAAGCAATCCTCTCTCCCTCTTCGACAAGATGCTTTTGTGAGACAGCCTTTCCTTTTTCTCATTTATGAATATTTGACTTCCTTATATTAATTATTTTCTTTAATCTGTAAGCCTTTTGTGATAGTCATGTTCTCAGATGTTTGTATCTATGTAACTAGTATCATCTTCTATAGTCTGTTGAAACTTTTGTATTTGATAATTTAAAAAAAAGATTGAATATAAAAATCAAATTAAAAAAAATGTGTACACACACTGGCATTGTAGTGGCTGTATAAGACAGCATGTCAGGCACACATGTGAACGTATATAGAGCGCTGCTCATTGCCATTTGGCGCTAAAATGTTTTTTACGGCATTTTCCATAAGATTGATCACAGAATGTTTGTTTTTTCTTCTTTTGTTTTGCTGGCAAACACCTTACCATCGAATGCTGTGTTTGATGGCGTAATTTCAGTCAACCATTTTTTGCTTTTATAGGGCTGGCTCTCGCTTTGCTGCATTCCAGACAAAAACAAACAACTCTTTTCTTTCTCTTTGGCAGCAACTCTCCAGGTTCCCCTTGCTGATTACGATACACGATACAGTGCCAACGCATCGGCGCAATGTCGCTGGCGTTACAAATGACAGAAGTCCGTCGAGTGCCGTGCTTGTTAGAAGATGGCATTTTCCATGAGGGCTTTTGTGGAGAGCTGGAGGCGGTACCTAATTTAACGGAAGTGGCTGCCTTGCACCATTCTGTGGCTTTTCCTTAATTAAGCACAACCATCGGACAAAGTTGCCAGTACATTGTTTTAGATGCAGCAACATCTTTATATTGTAGGCTGTAATGAACACCGGAGCCTCTTGGGGCTGCTGACAGAGCTTCAACTTGTTAGAATGGTTCGATAAGATCCTGTTTAGTTTGGCAGAAGATGATAGTGGCCAGAAAGGATTCTTGTGAGATTGACACTTCTTCATAGAGATTGTTTTAAATGTCAGAACTTTTGGTAATAGTGTGGTGACATCCTATGAGAACTTCCCCAGCCCTCACACACAGACACACACACACTTGGCTGGAGATGGTACATCAGCATCTCATTCCATGAGGAATTAGTGGGTTGAGACCACAGAACAAAGTCGGAGGGAAAACATGTCAAAACAGGACAGCGTCATGAGCGTGGCATTCACGGAGCAAAGCCTCAGAGGCAAAGTGATGAGAGTGGTGATGTCCAGGTCAGGCAGAGAGTGAGGGGGAGAAAGATAACCGAAGAGATAAGGGAGAGAGACACAGAGAAGCCAGAGAGAGTTAGACGGAGAGGGGAGAACAGAATGACAGCAGCTGAAGTCTGAGAGAGACGGGGGGGGCTAGCGGGATGGACAAGAGTGGAAAACCTTAGTCTGCTAAGAGAGTGTCCAGGCAAGGAGGAAGTTGAACCCTGTGACACTGCTGGGAAGCCGGGGAGTGGCCCCATCTGCATCCCACAGCAATATCCATGCTACCACACTATTTAGTACGCCAGCAAACGATTTAGCATGTCCCAATACATATAGTATATCTAATGCAGTATGCCAGAAATACCAGGATGTCCTACTGCATTTGGTCACATTTGTAAGCCAGCATGCTTTTATTGGCGATTCTGACCCACAATCCTTTGCGCAGCAGATATATTGGCAACGGGGGTCAAGGTTCACAGTGTAATTTGGCATGCAGCAAAAAGGATTTCCTGAAAGTGAAAAGAAAAAGTCTGCGGTTCGGAACGCAGTGACAAGTCTGAGCACCGGGCGAAGCTATCACGACACTGAATCACAGCTGGGGGCGGGGGAAGTCACACGTCCTCATTTGTCCTTGTAGCCAGCTGTTTGATGTTCTCTCAGAGCACTGAATCACAACGCTGACATCCGTGCAGAGTTTTCTGATCGCTCACCTGCCGAAGCACAAAGACACAAAGCCTTTTTTGCAGCTTTATACCCGTGAGACCTTGTTTCAGACTAAATGATTCATTCTAATCTCCAGACCACCAGGACAACTTTAACATGTTCATATTTTTACATAAAGGCCTTCAACACGTGATTTTATGAAACGTGTTGAATTGTAGTATTCCACCGATATATTGACCGAAATATTTTTACAGCTGACAAGAAATGTACACTGTTATCTTAAGATTTGGTTTTGTATATACCTTAATGGAAATGATTTAGACTTATGTAACTTTGTGTTGACCACTAATTTCTCTGATAGCTTTTGTAATAACTGACAAGTAAGCAGAGTGGAAATTAAAGACAAATATTTCTAAATATGCTCAATAAAGATTCCACCGTATACTTTAAAACTCCTAAACCTGCCTCAGAATTTGACCAAAACTTCTTCAAACCTGTACATAAATTAAACATGAAATACATATTTTAGAGGTTGAACACATATGCACATTAGTAATAGATGTAGAATCTATTGTTCATTCCAAACACACCCTGGAGCTACTTTTTCACTTGTCTGCACTATGCCATTGGTGGCATTTAGGGGAATAAGAGTGTGTCATCAGCTTAGCAAATGAGTCCACCACCAGTACTGTCAGAAGAAATTCATTGCCAAGAGATACTCTTGGCTCACGAAATGTAAAACCCCAAATTAAATCTTCATACCCAAAACAGGAAAAATCAACCAGCCATATTCATTAGTTATTCTGCTAGATTTATTCTTAATGAACCTCTATTAGATCGAACGCACTGTCCAAACTCGGCCTACCTCTCTATGTACCTGTTCAAGGAAAGTTCTGGCACATTTCAAACTGGTGTATTCCCCATTAATAAGGCAATTGTGACCCATATGTGTCATGCTAACTTTGCACTCGCCACCTCCGTTGAAGAGAGTCAAGGGGGCTTC